CTTCGGACCGTGGTTTATACACATATACATACGCGTATCGCTTGTCCACCATTCATTATATGTATGTGCAGTTCCGGGTCCGGTATATATGCTGGACCGTGGTTTGCAAGCCCTGCCGGGTTCGGCGAAAGCTCCGGACCGTGGTTTATACACATATACATACGTGTATCCTTTGTGTACCGGGTCCGCTGTATGCTGGACCGTGGCGTGCGTAGACTTCCGGGTTCGGTGAAAGCTCCGGACCGTGGTATTATACATATACTTATACCTATGTCTGTGCACATCTATCAATACGATGGTATTATACACTTTCTGGGGAGTATTCTAACTCCAGGATCGGCGCTACACAGACATGTACGCCTGGCCTTCTCAGGACACTGTGGCCTTCAAAATTCATTACAGAACCTGCAGATAGTGACAGATGGGGGCTATTTGCTTACTGCCAAGAAGAACTTATGCTGAGAACCGTTATATGTATGTGCAGTTCCGGGTCCGGTATGTGCTGGACCGTGGTGCGCATGCCCTTCCAGGTTCGGCGAAAACTCCGGACCGTGGTTTATACACATATACATACCCATATCCCTTGTCTACCGTTATATGTGTGTGCAGTTCCGGGTCCGGTATGTGCTGGACCGTGGTATGCATGCACTTCCGGGTTCAGCGACAGCTCCGGACCGTGGTTTATACACATATACCTACCCATATCCCTTGTCTACCGTTATATGTGTGTGCAGTTCCGGGTCCGGTATATGCTGGACCGTGGTGCCGGATTCGGCGAAAGCTCCGGACCGTGATTTATACGCATACACATACCCATATCCCTTGTCTACCATTATATGTATGTGCACTTCCGGGTCCAGTATATGCTGGACCGTGGTGTGCATGCTTTTCCGGGTTCGGCGAAAGCTCCGGACCGTGGTTTATACACGTATACATACGCATATCCCTTGTGGGCCGGGTCCGCTGTATGCTGGACCGTGGCGTGCGTAGACTTCCCGGTTCGGTAAAAGCTCCGGACCGTTGTATTATACATATATATATACCTGATACTTATGTTTGTGCACATATATCAGTATGATCGTATTAGACACTGTCCGGTGAGTATTCTAACTCCAGGATCGGCGCTCCACAGACATCTACGCCTGGCCTTCTCAGGACACTGTCGCCTTCAAAATTTATAACAGCCTGTCGATAATGACAGATGGGGGCTATTTGCTTACTGCCAATAAGAACTTATGCTGAGAACCGTTATATGTATGTGCAGTTCCGGGTCCGGTATATGCTAGACCGTGGTGTGCGTGCACTTCCGGGTTCAGCGACAGCTCCGGACCGCGGTTTATACACTCGGTAGACAAACCGAATAACCTGGGTTCATCAAGATTCTTTGGAAGCTTGTGCTTTGGGTCGCGAGCCTTCAGAGTTTCGTAATCCTAAAATGACCGGACCAATCATGCTAGTCAATGAAGTTTCATTGTAGAAAGTAGGAGCGCGCGCTTGCTGTTTTGGAGGGAAGCTTGAGAACGCGCAGCCGCATCCTGCCAAGCAGAAAGTAGAAGACGCCATGCCCCAGAGGGTTTCCTGGACGGGAAAAAGGCGAGTCCCTGTAAAACCAAAGAACTTGAGCACGCTTGCTCTTCTGTTGTTGTTTTGCGAGGCGGGGAGGTAAGTCTGGGCGGCAGCGTCAGCAGGCGGGCAACTCCACGAACTCGGTCGGCATCTTGTTGAAATGCAATTGATACAGCCTGAAGACTGTTGTGTTGTTGCGTGTTCTTAGGTCCCGGAGCCGTCCACATCCTCTCGACCAACACGCAATGTGGAGGACTGGCTGCCGAGGGCAGAAGAGCTGTGGATCGACTTTCGGGTCGTTCTGCTTGCTCTTCTGCACGAATGGCACCAGCGACTCGCAAATTGGGCCAAGCATGTTGACCGCATAATTTGTTTGCGAGTGCAAGGTAGCAGTTCATGCGTAGCAGTTTTGGCGTTGGGTGATCTGTGAGAGCCCGAAAGTCTCTTGAAGAGACAGAGATAGCGTCTTTGCTCTTCTAAGGTCTGTAAAGTGCAGCAAGACTATTCTGGAACAGCAGAGCTTCCTTCTGCAAATGATCCAGGTGAGATAGTAGCAAGTCCTGGCACTTCTTGGTGATGGTTAAGAGTGTTTTGGTGCAAGGCTAAGTGGACTGAAACTGTGGGTGCGAACCGGACCGAGCTTCGCATACCGTCCGACTGGTTCGGGCGGCAGCTTGCTCCGGTGACCTTGGGTTTATTTGATGAGGCGGGACACGCAGGTGCTTCTTGGAGGTTAAATAAAGCACCGGAGCATTTTCAACAAGGCCCTGGAGCTCCTTCCCAACACGGAAGAGACTCTGCATCAACGCATCGGAAAGGCCATCAATTACCTCGAAGGCCGGCGTCGCTTGTTTACGTGCTTGAGAAACGCCATATTTTGTCCTCGCTCCATCGTCGTGTTAGGTCGAAAGGAGCCGCGCGAGTTGTCTGATGTTGATCGCTTTGAGAGGCTGACGGGCACAGTAGTTCGCGTAGACACCCTCAAGACTGGAAAGCTGGTGCACATGGAGTATAGTCTTGGGGGTCCTGCTCGCTTGATATCTTCCTTCGTGAAGCCCGATGAAAACCATCCCGTGGGTGCATCGAGGCATTTCTGCGTAGGCTGGCGCTGGGACCATTACGATAAAGCGTGGTGTCCTACAGCCAAGTACTTGAGCCAAGGCTAAGCCAAGCTGCTCAGGAAGTATGTTTTCCTCCAGACGAAGCTACACGGCCTCAGTTTCGCACAGCCCCAATGTAAAAGAAACAGTGTAGATGCCAGTCTGAATTCACTGATATCTGATTCCAAAGTGCAAGCTTCTAAAGAGTCTTGCTGAAGACAAATAAGCGCTTTAGCAGTAACAGTTAATGCGAGAGAAGAAGAGTCTGCTTGTTCAATGACTGTAGATCCACGAAGGCATTAGCAGCTGGACGCCGAGGTTCAGAGAACACTGCAGATGTGTACTTGCAATTTTCACTAGGTGTGAGAGGTGTGCGTGACAGATGCACACGCGAGGAACGCGCAGGCGAGTGTGTGTGTGTGTGCGTGTGTGTGTGTGTGTGTGTGTGTGTGTGTGTGTGTGTGTGTGTGTGTGTGTGTGTGTGTGTGTGTGTGTGTGTGTGTGTGTGTGTGTGTGTGTGTGTGTGTGTGTGTGTGTGTGTGTGTGTGTGTGTGTGTGTGTGTGTGTGTGTGTGTGTGTGTGTGTGTGTGTGTGTGTGTGTGTGTGTGTGTGTGTGTGTGTGTGTGTGTGTGTGTGTGTGTGTGTGTGTGTGTGTGTGTGTGTGTGTGTGTGTGTGTGTGTGTGTGTGTGTGTGTGTGTGTGTGTGTGTGTGTGTGTGTGTGTGTGTGTGTGTGTGTGTGTGTGTGTGTGTGTGTGTGTGTGTGTGTGTGTGTGTGTGTGTGTGTGTGTGTGTGTGTGTGTGTGTGTGTGTGTGTGTGTGTGTGTGTGTGTGTGTGTGTGTGTGTGTGTGTGTGTGTGTGTGTGTGTGTGTGTGTGTGTGTGTGTGTGTGTGTGTGTGTGTGTGTGTGTGTGTGTGTGTGCGTGTGTGTGTGCGCGCGTGTGCGTGTGCGTGTGCCCGTGTGTGCGTGTGTGTGATCATACCGCGCAGTTTCGGCTTGAGCTTGAAAGAACTTGAAAGCAACCTCTCCTTCCGCTGATCTTTCTCTTGCAGTTTCTTGGTCTCAAACATCATGTCTTCTCGCAACAGTTGTCTCTATTTATCGCAGGCAGCTTCTGACTTTTTTTTCGCAAGCAGATTCTGAATGTCAGTCAAGGACTCGCTCTGTATGGCGTTGGGCAGCGTGAAAACCCCTTTGCGATCGGAGACTAGCTTCTTGACGGCCGTTGCTTCTCCGTACTTGCTAGATTGATTTCCTGAAGAAGAAACTGAGGTGCGGCCGAGATGAGTCTGTGCGCGAGCACAGCAACCGGCCCGAAAGCCTCCTCTGGCAGCCTTTCCGAAGAGCAGTGTTCTTTTTGTAGCGGCTAGAGAATAAGTCGTGCAAGAACCCGAGTCGTTTCAAGTGGGTAGAAGACGGTAGAAGGCTTCTGAGTTCTCGCGAGGCAGCTTGAAGAGTGTCTTGGAGACATTTGGTCGCAGCTCGGCCGCACAATTGACTGTATTACGATTCCGCAGTGCTGGATAGAACAACTATGGACAGGACAAAAGTAATGCACAGGTGTTCTTTACAAAGGTCACAAGCATGGATTCTACTTCGGACTCCAAAGGCTTCGTGCACAAGCATGCTTTCGACAGGCGAACCGGACGCGAGGAAGAGCCTGACAACGAAGGTGGAAACAGGCGGCGGCTGCCCGACGACGCGTTTCAAGTCTTGGAAGCTTTCTTGTCGTTAGACATCGAACAAGCTCTCATCGTAACATTGACAAAAACTATTTTATGTACTTGCGCTCTCTGCGTCAAGCCACTAGGATCTTGCAGGCCAGTCTGTATCTACTTCCGGAGTGAAGGACGTCTTGAAGCAAGACCAATGCAACCTGACAGACATGAAGAGGCGTTCCGGACTTCACACCAGATGCTATTACAATGTTGAGTCGGTTGTATTCTTATCTTTGCGGAATCTTTGCGTAGCCCAGGCCTCAAGACGAAAGAAGACAAGCCCGTGCCCCCGACCTCCACTTTGCAAGCAGAGCTGCAGATAGCGGGCCGTAATTCGACTGCGACAAGTTTGGAGGCTTTTGGTCGTTGTCTTTTTACAGTATAGTTATGGCGGCGGGGTCATGTGAAAAGCACAAAGAAGAAATGTTTAAAACTGAGCGTTCCGAAAAACAATTTAGTCAGCGAGGCTGCCTGTTGAGATATCAAACGAGGTCAGCCGAGAGCCATGTCTAACCTGCCAAAGACTTCCATGTTGGCTATGACGCGAATCTTGACTTGTTTTACGCTCGTGCAATCGTTCCCGAATCACCTCAGAGTGTATGATACGTTAATAAGAAATGGGCAAGTGTTTTCGAGGCGAGAAAGTGAAAGTGGGCATGCATCCTCTTCGCTCATCCACTTCGACCACAAAATGGGCAACGCTGGTTCCCTTGACCTTCGCCGCATCCATTCGACGGAAATGGGTTCCCAACAAAGGGCTGGTGCTGTTTCCGGCAGCAGGCGGACGGTGTCGTAAGAGGGACAGGGGACAGCGCAGTGACAACGGCTCCGTGAAGAACCCTCCGTGGAAGCAGGCCAAGGGCGAGACGGATTTGGGATACTATCGCAGGCGAGAGCACTTGCAGGGAAACAAGACAAAGAATCGAGGCTGTCGCAAGAAGAAGTCCGTCAGCAGTTGTGTTCCTGTGACGATGACGAAGAATCTCGTCTGCAGAGTTGTACTCTAGACTCTAGTCAGATCAAGCTTTATTGTTGTGATCTAGAGCCACCTGTCTAAATGCGCGTGTTCAGGAAAGACAGCGAGATCGAGAAGGCCGACACTAGCATCGAGACGCCGGATCATGTGAAAAGTGAGGGGCTGACAGAGTTTCTTGACTGATCTATCATGTTTCGTGGTGAAACTGTCGCGTGTCAGTTTCTGCGATGTCTGCACGCTGATCAAGGGCGTGGATCCCGGGAATTTACCTTGGAGGCGAGTGGATTCACAGCAACGGCCAGGGCTTGATGCTAGACAATGACTGGAGTGTCTTGGATTAATGGCCTTGGGGACTTTTTTCAGCAAAGGATGAACGCAGCAAGCTCAGGCTCCTACTTCTTTCTTCCCATTTTTCGTCGGCTGGCCTCCGCGGATGTGCTAGAGGTCGAGCAGAAGAGCGGTGCAAATGAGAACGGTGGCTCACTCAGGAACGCTGCTTTGTTTGACTATCATATTCTTACCTTAGTCGAAATTAAAGTGATCTGTCGCGACTAAGGGCAGCATCTCAACTTCGGTCTCAAGTACTCCTCGGAAGCCTGGAGTAGCTTGTCTGCGGGGTAAGTGAAGCGAGGCTGTCCCTGTCGCTTGAAATATCACGCCCAGGCGATATTTTCGTGGGCAAGCTCGTTCGGAAGATTCGAGAGCGGCAAGCCTCGGAAAAATTTCGCTGCAAGACGTGGCCGGAATGGACGCAGCAGCAAGGCATCGTCGTTACGCGAAAATCCAGAACGGCGACGAAGTGCAGCTCGGCAACGACGGATCGTGTTCGCGAGCCTCAGAAGCCTCGAGGCACCGTGGCAACCGATCCTGAGACAAGGACGGCCAAGCACTTCAAGGACTGTTGCTTGGTCGACTCCCTCAGAGCTATGGGCCATAAGGTGTCTTATCGTGGAGACGGACCATGGAAAATTTCGGACGGCATGCAGTGGCTGCAGCCTATGAGGACCTTCGTTATGATCACATTGCAAAGTCCAGCAATGAGCGCGTGCTTCTGTGTGACTGCAGTAATAGGATTACACATGAAGTGTGATGTGGATGTCTTTGATGTGTAATTAAATGAGGCATTACGCAACGCGCTTTCTCTTGCGCTTGAGGAAGACCATTCGGCCATGCACCTTTCACGACGCGCTCGTCGCCCAGGGCGATTTCCTGTTGGCGTACAGCAATCACTTCGTGGCAGCCCGGCGCAGAGACGGTGAGAATCTCAAGGTGAACTGCGGGCGCACGCATATGTGGAAAGATTTGCGAGTCAAGTCGCATTCTGGAACGCACGCTCTTCATCAGGATCTCGACGGAAACATGCTTCTGGATCCGAGAATGCTTGATGCATGTTTTCGAGTGATGCATCGAGATGATGTTTGCGAAGAACAGAGTCTACCTGCAGAAAATGATTACTCGGGCGGAAAGATGGTGGAGGCCTGCGCGCAGCAGATCTTGGAGACCTGGGAGAGCTTGCAGCTCGAGCAAATGGAGCCCGTGGTTGTTCCTACTGCAGAGAACTTGGTCACGCTGAACAGGCGCGATGGTTACGCAGACTCGGACGAAGAGTCCGGTTTTTGGCACTCCTGGGAGGAACTATTCGGTTCGCAGGCGCCCTATTCTGAAGGCGGCTTTGACGACGATGAGGAGAATATCTTGCATTCGCCCGTACCTGTTGTCGTCCACAATTTCGATCAGATTGTGAATGATGACGACACGTTCATTGTCTGCGGCGTGCTTGAAGATCAATGGAACGCAAACAGCTTTGCAGGCAGCAGCCTCGATTATGCTGGAGGCTCGTCTGTCTTGGGCGAGGACGGTAGCATCCTTACGAGCAACTTGATGCCGCAGGACGTGTTGCTCATTCTTCCTCAGACTTACTTTTCCTTTGAATTTCTGAGTACGTGGGCTGCATGTTCGCGGAGCTTTCGAGATCATGTCCGGCAACAGCTCAACTGGAAAGGGTTAGACATTCCTATCGATGTTCCGGAGTTCACGAACGACGAGGCACGGCTGAGACGCATGCGACGACTATGGAAACTAGCACGAAGCGTCATCATGACACAGGCCCAGCTTGCTTTTCTGAATCTGCCTCTTCAGAAAGTTCTTATTCGGTGGGAAGTGGAAAGGATTCCCTTTTCCGGTGAGCGCTCTCGTGGCTACATGTCCAGTCAAACCCTGCTTGGCGCAGCCAGGTTTCTTGCGGAAATTCCTGAAGAGATTCGAACGGTCATGATCGGGGTCAAGAGTCCTTTTGGAACGAGAAAGATTTTCTTGCACATCAGAGAGGCTTACACTGAGCGCATGTGCTTTTGCTTTTCTATGTCAGGCAGAATGGACAACCTTCCCACTGAAAAGTTTCCCGACAACGTCCTGTTTTCTGAGTTGCGCAATGAAGTTACACTGATCTGGAATTCTCGAATGTTTGCCGTGCAGATCAACCAGCACATGTTTGGGCCGGTGCAAGTGCGAGAGGACTTGCCGAGCGGGCCATCGTCGCAAGCGATTCCTTTCATCTGGGCGAGCAATCCTAAGCGAAGTCCAAACTCGCCGAGGATTCAAATGCTGCCGTTGCTCACACCTGTTCTTCCAGACGCACGATGCCTCTGCATCCTATGTGGTCTAGAGAGTGGCTTGAATGAACAGCAATGGCGAGTTTGCGTGGACTGCAACACGTGGGTTTGCAGAGAACACGCCCGAGCACTTCCGAACATGCAGTGCCCAGGGTGTCCCTTAGTTCTGGCCGATTATCTGGGCGGCGCTCTCCCGCCGCCTCAAATGCCTTGGGAAGTGGTCATGTCCTTGCCTCAGTACTTTTTCTCCTACTCCTACATGAAGAACCTTGCCGCCGCCTCGAAAGCGTGCAAGGCTGCGATTGTCTCGGGCGAGGCGTGGCGCAATAAGGTCGTCGAAGTGACGTGGCCCGAGTTCACCCAAACCATTTTGCTTCGTCGAGTGGAGCCTCTCTGGCGCCACGCCAGAATTGTGGTCTTCGACATCGCGCAGCTGGCCCAGGTCCTGGAAATGCCTGAGACAGCTCACGTGCACTTCAATGTGACATCTTATCAAGGCTTTCTGCGCGGCGGCAGAGTAGTGCAAGGCTTCGAGTCCAACCAGCCTCTCATGGGCTGCGCCAATTTCGAACTCCATTTGCCTCCACGAGCCAACGGCATCTACTTCGGCGTGCAAGACCTGGACGGCAGGAAGAGATCTTACTGTCGTGTGGACAATCTCTTCACAGCAGACATCGCTTGGTCTTTCGGCGTCACAGGAAGCCGCGTCCAGCGACATCCTCGTGCCGACCAACATCATTTCTTGCCGGGCTATGCCAACCGCGTCTGCATGAAATGGAGCCAGAGGTCGTTCGCCGTCAACTTGAACGACGAAGTGGTGATTCGGGCAAGGCTTCGCGACGATGTCGGCGACTCTGCGCCGCCTTTGGCTAGGGTATTTGTGTCGGTTTTCTCGCCCCCGGGAGGCCATGGCGGCGCACAATTTCTTCGAGAAGTTGGTATGAGTCCTGCCTTCTCACCTGTGGTTCGCAACGCACACATCGAGTGCGGAGTTTGTGGACGCGCGTTCAGTTTGCTGTTTCCGAGGTGGAGTGTCTGTCCTTTGTGCAGCACATGGATCTGTTCAGCGCACGCGGGCCAGATGCCGTGGAGAAGGTGTCCACGCTGCGTTTTGCAGCTGCAAGACTACGTCGGAGGCAGCGACTACATTCGGTATGTTGACGCAGGCGGCTTTGTTGAAAACGGCGCCTTTCTGGAAGCGACGACCAAGTTCGAGCTCGTGATTTCGAGCATATACAGGCGCCATGCCGGTTTGTTCCAGCGTCTTCCTGAAGCCATCAAGCTCCTTCCGCATCCGATGATGCGTGCGGCTATGACGAAGAGACTATGGGAGGAAACGCTGGGGAGGACACGAACAATTCTGGATTTCTTGGAAGAGACCAATCTGAACATGAACGTTGTCTTTTATCGCTACCTGCACGCGCAAGCGTCAAAACTACCACAGTGTCAGCTCCAGGTGTTAGGACGATTACCTCATCCGGTGGACTTTCCCGATGAGAAGGACTGGTTCCGTTTGGCCTTCGAGTTTTCCTTGAGCCTGCACTTGCTCTTGGTGACTGGCACCATTGACGGGGCGACTTCCACGTCTTCCGGCGAAGCGAAAGAAGAAAACGTTCAATGCGAATGTCGCAGTGAAAAGCTGATAGAGGAGTAGGAGATCACGCGCGCACCTTGCTTGGTCGTCGGCTTAACGGACAACTGGACTGCATTGTGTTCCAGTTCCAGTGCTAGAACCTGGCAAGACGTGCGGGGAGGTGCGTCCGAGCACAGAGCAAGTCACTCAGAGTGGTTTCTTTTGAGCTTGCGTCGCGCAGAAGCTCTTTCTCGGCAGCACGAGAGACGAAGCAGCCAAGAGCACGGCCTTCTACCTCTTGATGGTTTTTCTTTGTGGAACAAATGCTACAGCCCGTACTGTTGTCCGTCGTACGGAACGCATACGTCCTCTATCCGCTTGCCGATGTTTTCATTCACGCACGAGCTGCCTCCCGTGTTGGAAGCCGCCCCGCTTGACTGGCAAAGCTTCAAGTGTCCGGAGATTTCATGCGGCCTCTTGTCTCGGGTACATCGGCATCTCAGGGATCAGCGGATAAGCTTCACTGCAGGCAATCACACGTACCATGTCGACGGAAAAAAAGTTTCGATCTCGGTCACGGGTCTCGTGCATTTCTTTGCGGAAGAGTTCGATGCTGATGCTGCTATCGCGTGCATGAAACGAAGTCAGAACTGGCCCAGAGAGGCATACGCCAAAGTCGTGGACGGAAAGCTGCAGCCCTTGCCGGACGCGGAGATTAAAGAACTCTGGCGCAAGAATTCAGTGGAGGCTTCTGCACGAGGAACTTGGATGCAAATCGAAGTTTTCTTGAACGGAGGCTGCTCTGAGAATCCTGGAGTGGAGATTGATCTCTTTGCGAAGTTTCTTCAGCAGTTTCCCACGCGGCTCCTGGCCTTTCGTACAGAGTGGTGCATTTATGCAGAGAATGAAGATCTGGCTGGATGCGTCGATTTTGTTGCTGCTCTGACTGAAGCAGGAGAAGTTGTCCTTTTTGACTGGAAGCGCACAAAGCTTCTGCGCGACAAGTACAACAATCCCTGGTCTTGCATGAAGAAGCCATTGTCTCATATTCCGGATTGTGCAGGTCAGCACTATCGACTGCAACTCAACGTTTACAAATACATTTTGCAGCAGTACTACGAGATGAGAGTTGCTGGCATGTACGTCGTCTGTCTGCACCCAGACAATGCAGATCTGGGTCCCTTCATCGACGAGGTTCCGGACATGGCACCTGAGGTGCACGCTATGTTACAGAGTCGAGCACGAAGCACGGCGCCGCCTGCATGGCAGGATCTCAGCGGCGGAGCTGAGGCCGACAGCCAGACATCTTTTGGGCGCCAGATCGAGGACGAGTTGGAGATGCAAGTTGATGACGATAATGCCCGCCGTTCATTGGAAGAAGCCTTCGCTGCTGGGCTAGTCTTTGATGCTGCGCGCAGTGTCAGCCAAGGAAATCTTGTGCCTTCTGAAGAAGACATTTTTAGAGACGCCAAGAAACGACGTTGTATGCCTGGAGCGGAAACTACAATGGCGCGTTTGCAGGAGATTTTTCAGAACAGCGATGAGAGCTGTGCAGAATCTTTCCTGAGCATGCCGCCTGCGGTGCAGAGGATTCATGATCGCACGATCGTCCAACAGAAGAAGACATACCTTGCCCTGGTGTCGCAACGGCATCCGACCTGGCCGGAAACAGTTCAACATCTTGCAGCAGCGGCGCTTACATGTTACCGCACTCGTTTGAGCGACATGTTTGTTCGCGATTACGTGGCATTGCTTTGGGTGATGGAAGGAGATCGATTTCTTCGGGCGCACAACGGCACCTGCTACCTTTATCACGAGCACGGAGCATTCCAGGCCTTCGTGGGCATGCCTCCAGAATCGACGTTCTCCAGGGTGAAGCCTTTTCTGTTGCAGTTGGAAGGAATGTTCAGGTTGATGAGTTCCCGAGTGGAGCGCTCGGACTATTGTCTGCTCGATGAGATCGCGCGCCTTTTTGACGAGCACAACAGCGCCTGCGAGTTCTTGAACCGTTGCCTCGATGAAGCCATCATGACAGCTGGAACACGTTCTACTTCTAGACGACAGATGAATCGGCTGGAGGCACCGGAGAGGGGCGTGGATGCACCGGCAGAGGCTCCTGCTGGCACACCTTCGTGGCCGTTGTTTACAGCGGACATGATTAGCCGTGTAGCTGCCCCTCTGCAGCGAGACTTGCTCGAGGAGCGAAAGCTTCTCCAGTACGTGGCTCAGTGGTGCGACACACCTACGCAGCGGAGACCTGGCGTTGCTTACACAGATTGCTGCGTTCTCTATGACGTTTCTCCGGAGCACAATGTCCAACTTGTCAATGCCAGTCCGGATTTGAACATCTATATTCGCGTCCCTCATCCTTTGCGTGCTCATGCTCTCGAGGACCCGGTGTTCCGGCAGGCCAAAGACAGGCTGGAAAAGTTTCTGAGGGAGACCTTTTGGTGCAACGAGGACTTTTTGCGGGCCTGCATGAGTGCTCTTGCCCTTGCGAAGCGTGGCGAAAACGTGGACAGATGTTTTATTGGCGAGTCTCCTGGCGGAACTGGTCAATCTTTGTACAGCTGCCACATCGCCGCAGTCTATGCCCGAAACCATGCCTTCATTGACACTGCCGTATTTCTGAACGAGGACGAGCTCAGGAAGCAATTGGAGGGTTTTGCTCATTGCTTTATCCTTACGGCGCAAGAGGCACCGGAGTCCAACCGTGCATTTCTGCAGGACGTCTTCAAAAAGGTTTGCTCCGCTGACGACTTGGCTGCACGCCGGCCATACGGCTTCGTTACTCGCATGATGCGATGCATTGGCTGGAAGCGGTACGAGACGAACGTCATGCTGCAGTTCCGCAACGTCCAGGAAAGAAATTTCAACTCCATGTTTAGAAGATGCCTGGTGTGGGAGCCCAAACCGCTGTTCTGGGAGCAGAAAACTTTGGAGGAGAGTTACCCTGACGCACACATGGACGGCATTTTCGCGAAGGACACCACGCTGAAAGAGTTTCTTGAGTCCGGGCCAGCCATTGCAGTTTCTTTGCATGTGCAGCATGGCTTCGAAGTTCGGCACAGCCGGCAAGACTGCCGCGACATCATCGAGCAAATGGTGGTGCAGGGACCAACGGAGAAGAAAGTCAGGGCTGCGTGCGGTCTGGAGGATCGCAAGCAGGAAGGCGGCTCGAGTTCAGCCACGGCACTTGCTCATCTCGTCCGGTCGGCCACAACTGTTCAAGACGCAAACGAAGATGCGTCTGCTGAATGTTTGCATGAGAGAGTGCGAAACGCAATGATTTCTTACGGTCTGAACACGCGTGGCACTCCGGCAACGAAGTTGAAATTCAGCAAGGCCTGGTGGACTCGGTACTCGTCCTCGAAGATCGGCAACAGGACATTGACGTTGGATGTCTTGCAGGACAAAAAAATGGTCATTTTTGCTGGCGGTGCTGGAGACAAGGGAAACGTGAGCCAGTCCTTCGTGCCCATCATTCCCGCTTTACCAAACGTTTACGACCATATGCTCGAAAATGCCGATAAGGAGAATCCGGAATCGAGTACCTTGCATCATTTGTGGACGGTCGTGGAAGATCGCATCATCGACGCATGGCTGGAGAAAATCGCTGGTCTGAATCCTCGTCACGTGTCTCTGCATTTTGATGGCATTCGCGTAGACACCTCCGTGATAGGCGACGACGTGGAGAATTTCTGTGCACAATGCTCCGATCATATAGCGGAGAAAACAGGCTTCAAAATCACAATCCGACCAAAGCTGCATCGGCATTTTTTGGAAGAATTGAGGAGCAAGCGGGGTTTGGAAGAGGTGCCCTGTCCTGAAGAGCTAGAAGAACCGGGCAATTGCATTCTGCGGAGCTTGCATCATCTGGGGTACAAAGCACAAGCTCTCGCCATGGCAACAGATGTCAGCTCAGAATTCCATCAATATTTTCGGCACAAACATCACAGGACATATGCTCAGGTGAGTGAACGCACCGGCTTGTTCATGAATCCGACGTTTGCAGCAGCAAGCACACCTTTCTCGGCCGGCCAGAAGAAGCTCATGCATCTTCATACACAAGGAGATCCACATTGTGTCGCATTGGAAGTGGTCACCGCAAACGAATTTATCATCACAGATGAGAAGAAGCAGTACAGGGTCAGCTCCACGGACTTCTTGAAATGCCTCAAGGCTGCTGTAGACTCGAAGTACATCGTTCTTTTTGATATCTTCGGGAGCGAAGCAGAAGCAAATGCAGCACAAGCATCGAACACGGATGACGCTTTGACCGCCACAGAGATGGACAGTTTGCGGTGTCTTCATGCAGCGGGCGAGGCGCAGGATGATGACTTCGTGGTGGACATGGAAGAAGCAACTGACGCGGAAGAGCCGCCGGAGGAGTCAGAAGACGAAGGCATCGTGCGCGTCGGCGACAGATTGTTGAGTTCCCTGAAAAATGAAGTCACGCAACTGAAAGCTGAGTGCATTCCTAGGAGTGACGGCGAGTATAGGTGCCCGTTTTGTCCGTGGCGGTCTTGGGCAGCGAACCAATCGAAGAAGAGAGTTCTTGATCACGTCGAGAAGTACCACGACCACATCCACCAGTTCGTCGCCAGTGGGACCAAGCAACTGAAGCTCATCATTTCGTTACACGATGCTGCTCAGTGCACGGGATCTGAACAGGGCGACCTGCTCACAAGAAGCGCTGAAATGCTGCGCTGCACAGTGCAGCCAGCTGTGTGTGCTTCTACCACCTCGATAGATCGACATATTCGCTTGGTCTTCACAGAGCGCGGGCCTGAGTTCTGGAATGCGGTTTCAGTCCAAGAGTTCCCGCTGCGACGTGTTCGCAATCTGTACTACACCTATGAGTTCGGCCAGATTGTCTACCAGCAGTTTCTTCTCTCGGATGCAAAGGCAAGGTTTGCTGCTGGAGAGTTGTTTGCAGACCCTGAGCAAATGTAAGTGCTTTCTTTTCTTGTGTGTGTGCTCGCAGGTGTACTCATTGCATGCGGCATTGGTTGCGCGCTTCCCCCCAGAGACCTGCAGCTTGCTACCGCGGCACGTCAATCACTGGTGGCCAATTCTAGAAGATTTGTTTACCTGCCCCAAACTCATGTGCGTCATGCAGGGTTTGATGCAAGAAGTTATGCAGCACGATGAGCTACAAGTCATCAGCATCGACTGCACGATGAGATGCTGCCTGCCTCTGATGGGACAAGCTCATCCTCGGTCTAGCCAGGAGGCAAAGCGAAGCGCAGCTTTCCGCGGCCAGGAAGCTTCTGCAAGAGCAGACTGAACGCAGAGCAGCAGTTCTCTTTCTTTGGTTGTTTAAGCAAAGTACGTGCGTGTCTTCATTGCAGTAACGAAGCACATGCAAGTAATATACTGTGCAAAGTCCAGGTGATGACAGTGCGCGGCAGAACCAATGCGGTTGTGGTTCTGGAACCACTCGCAGCAGACGACTCGGAGACCTGCGTGCGTGTCCTGGCTGAGACTCTCCCGGCGCAAGCATTGGCCCAGGTCCAATTTGTTCGAGTGGACAACCCCTCGCAGAAGTTCTGGGAGCAGCTCCGCGTGATCTGCCCCAACTTGCAGGTCCTTGCTTTAGATCCGGTTCATCTGGCGATGACGTACGAATTCGCCTCGAGTCGGAAGAGAACCCCTGGATCAAGCATGCTGCGAAGAATTCTTCAAAAATTCACAGCAGTGGAGAGCGCGCACACAGCCGAGCAATGGGGCCGCGTCTTCACAGGAAGCGACGGCAGAGTTTTGTCTCGCGAGGAAGAGATGTTGCGCAATCACATCGAAAACCGGTCCATGCGTCTGCGCGACGCTGAGCACATTCTGGCACAAATTAATTCGGAAATCCCATTTTTTGTGCGGGTGGATTTCATTCGCGCTATTGCAGCATTATGCGCAGTGTACAGTCACGAAGTTATTCGTGTTGCGCCGGGCCCGAACAGGCAGGTGTACAAGCTGCTGCATTCGGCCACAGCTGTCAATCGTGCGGAGTGGTATTTCAACAACACTCGTCTGCAGCACATGCTGGAAGCACGCAGGCTCCCGCTACTCCCGACAGGCACCACATCTAATGAGAGTCTGCACAGGGAGATTAATGTATGGTTCCGTGAGACTTTCAAGTTGCATCAAACCAGTTTGCGCTTGAAACTCCAAGTTCTCAAGCTTGCCAAGAACTTGTCTCACAACAGTGCTCTGTACAGGCCGACGACACGGCAAATGAAGCACGCGGAACTTCTTGCTCGTGCGAGCGCACGCCCACTCTGGTCGTATGTTGAGTGGCAGAACTGGTGCAGGGAATTAGCCCACGACAAAATGCCAGACAAGGCCGATCTGCCATTGTATAGAGAAAGAAAGCGGCAGCAAGCTGTTGTCAAAAAGGCAGCCTGCAAGAAGCCAGCCGCTTCGCCACAGACGCGCAAGAAGGTACACCGCACACCGCACACCTTGAAGCGCAAGGACACGCTTCGGCGCGCAGGTGCGCGTGGGCACATGCGTCCCTAATGCAGGCCATCCATGTTAGGCTTCGGGCGCAGGAGGTCTGGACTGATTTGCTAATTGTGGGCAGGAGCCGAACTTGGTGTCGCGTTTTCTCTCAGTTGCAACTGACAGAGGACTGCAGGCGTGCGTCTGTACAGTGCACAGAGGACGTGCGCCGCGCATGAATTCGCCAGGGAAAAAGAAGAGAATGTGTGATCTGCTACACTTCATGCGGACAATGCCATTTTGTTAGATCACTAGTGCGTGAAAGCTGTACGTCGCGGCGACATGTCGAGCGAAGCTTGCGATCGACCGCTCGCAGGAAGGCGGAGGAGCAGTGTGTGGCTTGGCGCGTAAGTGCATTTGCCTGGGGGAACGTTTTCGTGTTGGGTCTTGCGCCAAGGAGCTGATATCAGTTGTCGATGAAGCGATGAATTCGAATCTTTCACAAACATTCGCGTGCGTTTTCCTCAAGGAATGTTTTCTTGCTGCGATCTTGCACGAGGGGACCGATATCAGTTCGCGATCAAGCGATAGAGTCGAATCTTTCCCACGCAGTCGCGGGCAACTCTTGCTATTGGATGAAGTTCATTGTGATTTCGCGACAGCATTCCGTAGTTCTGCATCTTCGTAGATGTCCCGAGAAGTAGTCAGCGGCGGCTTCCAGTGTGAGCACACGGGAGTATATAGAAAGAATCATTAACGCCGCGTTGGAGATGCTGGAACCTGTGCGAAGTCTTTGACAATGACGTTCTCGCAGGCGTTTTCTATGCCAGGACTGTCGATGAGAAGCAGTGTGTGTGAGTGTACAGTCTGACAGAATTCCTCTGAATAAGTGCGCTTGCACTTGTCACCGTCTGTTTGCAGTTGTCACCGTCTGTTGCCTGTCATTGCGACTGTGTTCACAGTCAGTACGATGTCATGAACAGGTTTGATCTCAGGAGATAGCTTGAACTCAGAATGCGTGTTTCCATCCGTAATATCTCCGCTCAAGGGTTGCTGTCGACGCGCTTGCCTGTTCTTTGACGTGTTCGCAACAAAATGGTAGTGCACTTAATGCGTTTGCAGCTGGTGAGAGGATCAGTGCAAAGTTGGTGGACCTTCACCGGTATTGTCTCCGGCGGGGCACATGCAGACCAGTCCGAAGGCAGCAGCGTTTCATGTGGCCAGACATACAGCGGACTCTGCAGTCACGCCGGGAGATCCAGGAGCAGAGCTCACCCTACAGCACACAGAAGGCACGTTGTTGGATGAACAATCGATATATCAGCTCTTGGTGCAGGATCAAGTTACAAATTCTATGTCTCACTGAGTCTCACTTCTGGCAGCTTCCTCCGCCAGAGCTTATCAAGTTCTCAGCAGTTACAGCAACCTGGTTGAAGAACCAGACCTCATCTTGGCAGCCTGTTATTCTGACTGAACGGCAGCGTTGTGTGCACTACATGCTCAGTCTGTTACCGTCTGATTTCCGATGTGTTGACCCGCAGAGGCTTTGGCAGTTGCGTCCGTCAGTTCTGCTTTCTTCAGGGCCATAGTAGGTGTGAATTTGCCATGTCAGAGTGTGTTTCAGACGCCAGCACGAGTGTGGGCATGTGGAGATGTTCTGCCTAGAGTAGAGACTTGCGTGCTCTCTGATGTCCCAAAGAGTTCAAATGCATTAGCGGCAGAAGTTCCAATCGGCGTTCGATTTAGCGTCGTAGCTGACAGAGTCTGCTTATGCCTCCATCTTTCCATGAAGAATGCCAACGTATGCCTCGACCTTTCTGATTGAAAGGTGTGTGTGTGTGTGTGCCAACCCTGCCACTAAGCGAGTCAGTTGCTGTTGCGCAAGGTCGGTTTTGAAAGCCAGATTTGAAGCAGAGGGCCAGCGCTCTCCCTAGGGGTCGCTGGCCAACGAAGACGCCCCCAGGCAGGGGTGTAAACGTACCTGCAGACTATTTTGTGAGTGAGTGCGAGGTTCTCACTGACAGGATGAAAGAAGGTGAATCTCGGGTGGAAGGAATTAAGACTTGGCGTGGAGATATGCGCAAGGTGTGGCCAAACGCTGACTGTGAAAAGAAGGCGCAGTTTAAACAGTTTAAACTGTTTAAATATTTCAGGGGATTGAACTGTGTAAACTGTTTAAGCTGTTTCAACTGCAAATCGTAAACAGTTTAAACATTTAAATATTCAAAGTGTTTAAACTGTGTAAACTGCAAAAGGAACTTGAAAAGGTTCATGGTACTTACTAACCAGTTATAACTGTACCTAGAACCCTACTTATAATAGCCCTAAAGGGCCTTATAGGGGTTCTCAATTATCAGTAGGGTTATAAGCCCAGTCGTATTGGTTAGTAAGTACCATGAACCTTCAAGAAGGCGCAGTTTAAACAGTTTAAACAGTTTAAACAGTTTAAAGTTTTTAAATATTTACAGTGTTTAAAGTTTTTAAATTGTTTGTTTAAACTAACTGCAAATCGTTTTGAAAAAATGTTAAGGTTAAAGGGTTTTGAGTTTTAAACTTTACATTTGTTAAGTTCTGTGGTGTTTTTTGGACGATTTGCAGTTTAAACACTTTAAACACTTTAATTTTTTTAACAGTTTAAATATCTAAAGAGCTGCAGCACTGTGAGCGCAGGAGTCGGCAATTCGAACGGCACTTACAACCCACTTTTATAAGCCTTTGAAATGCCCCAATTAAACCTGTACTTCTAACCCACTTATAAGCCTCTTATAAGTGCCCCTAGTGTGACTATAAGTTGGGTTAGTCAGCACCGTTGGGCAAACCCTAAACCCTAAACCCTTAACTCTAAACCCTAAACCCTAAACCCTAAACCTTAAACCTTAAATCCTAAACTTCTGCCCTGAACCTTAAACCCGAAACCCCAAACTTGAAACTTGGCCCCTTGCTGGTGTGATCTGCTGCCAACGCAGCAGCACGCACGACGATTAAAATTCTGAGAGCCCTTTTGGGGCCCAGTATCCAGGGACTGCGCAAGGCCAAGATCCCTTGACCCTGAACATCCCATTCGGTTTTAGGGTTTGGGGTTTAGAATGCAGGGCTTCGGGTTTAGTGTGTAGGGTCTAGGGTTAAGGGTTAAGGGTTTAAGGATTAGGGGTTCGGGGTTAGGGTTTTCGGGAGGCTCGCTGTTGCCAGGAATTGACAGGCGAGATGGCTCATGTAGCTCGCCATAAAATAGGGTTTCGGTAGGTGAGGAGTTTGCCAGCAGTTGCAGCGCCTGGCAATGCACAGGACGGTTTAGGTCTGAAGTCGTTGAGGGTTAAGGGTTTAGAGGTTTAGGGTTGAGGGTTTAGGGTTTAGGATTTAGGATTTAGGGTTTAGGGTTGGGGAGAAGGCGAGAAGGTGGTAGAAGTATATGAACCCAATCCTGAACCCCGAGTATAACTTGAACTCGTAGTTGTAGTTGTTGCTTGGCGGTTGCGAGATTCGGCTTTGTAGCGATTTGTTGCCGGCGCGGGTTCAAGGGTGTGGCTTGAGGTTTAGGAGGTTTCAGGGTTATTTAAGCTTTAGGATTTCAAGAGTCTTGAGGCTTAGGAAGATTCAGGGTTGGTTCGGCTTTAGGGTTTCAAGAATCACCCCTACAGCGCCAAAAACTGCACATGCGCTCTATCTACACTAAAACACTCGCAGCAAGGGTTATACAACCCTAAGGCCCTAAGCCTAACCTGAAAACCTAGAACCCATATCGTCTATGCACTCGACACAGCCCCTAAGCCCCATACGACAGGCACTCAACCCTATATATAGCCAGCGTGCCTCCCTAGCGTATTTCCAGCCAGCGTGCCTTCCCAATGGCTT